TCTCTGTATAGCCTGGGCTGTCCTGGAACTCACTCTGTAGACCAGGCTGGCCTCGAACTCAGGAAATCCACCTGCCTCTGCCTCTGCCTCTGCCTCTGCCTCTGCCTCTGCCTCTGCCTCTGCCTCTGCCTCCCGAGTGCTGGGATTAAAGGCGTGCGCCACCACCGCCTGGCTTTTTTTTTGTTTGCTTGTTTTTGGGGTTTTTTTTGTTTTTTTAGTAACTTTTTGTTTGTTTGTTTTGTTTTTTGGTTTTTGGTTTTGATTTTGATTTTTTTTTGTTTTTGTTTTTTCAAGACAGGGTTTCTCTGTATAGCCCGGGCTGTCCTGGAACTCACTCTGTAGACCAGGCTGGCCTGGAACATAGAAATCTGCCTGCCTCTGCCTCCTAAGTGCTGTTTATCATACTTTTAATGTTACCTCTTACTCAATATTTAAAAACCTCTTGTTGGCCTATAACTATTTTTTCAAAGTTGACTTACTGAAGATAAAAACACTATCCTGTCACTTCCCCTTTGTTTTTCTGTATTAGCACATACTTTTTTAAGAGGAGGAAGGAAAGACAATTACATGTAAATTTTCCCACACTCTAGACATGGATAACTACATCCCATGTTGATGATTAATGTGTTAGTCTATTCTCTACTAGATTTTCTAAAAAGTGGTTAAGCTATGTATATTTGCTATCTAATGTGGCTAGGTTTTTATTTATTTATTTGTATGTAAGTGTTTTGCCTGCATGTACATCTGTGTACTATATGTGTCCCCACTGCAGGCAGAGACCAGAAGAAGGCATCCTCTAGGACTGGAGTTACAAACAGTTGTGAGCTACCCTGGGTCATTGTTACCAAAAATAGCATACACAATATCATCTCTTCTGGAGAATCATTTCAGTGCTAAGAATGGCAGCTGCTGGACTGATGTATAGTGAAGAAGGAAACTGCTGAGCATGGCTGTGCACATCTGTAACAGCATTCCAGTGCTCTTAACAGCTGGGTCCGCTCTCTCCGGCCGCCACTGCAACTGCTCTTACTTAAGATATTTCTAAAGTAAAATATACACAGGATTTTGAAATTTTGGTATCAACAAAACATATAAATATCTCAATAATATATTTTCATATTATATCCCAAAGTAATACTTTAAACACAATAGGTTAAATAAAATATGTAATTCTCATGGATTCCACCAGCCATGGGATGTACATTTAGTGTTTCTGTTTTGCCAGTGAGTTTGGTTTTCTCAACTCTGCATGGCAAGTTTAGCAAGTACTCTGACCCCTCCTGGCCTCATAGATTCGGGTGCAGGTGCAGATGGATTGATGGTCAGGTATAGCCTCTAACCAAAACTGTGTGATTCTGATCATTATAAACCATGCTACGTAAACTCACTACAGTCCCTCCTCTTCAAAGTGAGATGGTAGGGGCTACTGAGATGGCCTGCACTTGCCACAAAAGCCTGACAGCATGTGCTCAGTCCATAGAACCCATATAAAGGTGAAAGACAAGAACTGACTGTACAGAGTTGTTCTCTGACCTTCACATGAGAACTACACATACACATCATGTATACAAGCATACATGTGTGTGTACTAAAAGGAAGAGGTAGTGTGAAAGAATTGCTCACTTTCAGACCAGGGACAAGCGACTGAGGTGTATATTTTACATATCAAAACAGACCTGGCCTCCAGGTTCTCCCAGCATCCCTCAGTCCCTACCTGGTATACCCTGTCCCCAACCCTGAACTTTCCAAGCCAAGAGCAGCTTCCATGCCTTACTATAATCTAATGTAGATTGAACTGGCTCGTTTTACAGGCAGAGAAATAACCTATCACTAAGTCCTTGTCTTAGGTTGGTATTGCTGACACCCTGACCAAAAGCATCTTGGGGAGGTGGATTTACTAGGCCTATAGGTTATAGTCCATCTTTGGGGAAATCAAGACAGGAACTCCTCAGGCAGGAACCTGGAGGCAAGAACTGAAGTAGAGACTGTGGAGAAACACTGCTTACTGGTTTGCTCCCTGTGGCTTTCTCATTCTCCTTTCTTACACAACCCAGGACCACCTGCCCAGAATGGTACCACCCACAGTGGACTGGGCTCTCCCACGTGGCTCATTGATCAAGAAAATCCCTACAGACCTGCCTATAGGCCAGTCTGTTAGAGACATTTTCTTAGTTGAAGTTCTTCTTCCCAGATAGCTCTAGCTGCTAGAGCTAGAGTCCAGCTCATGTCAAGTTGACAAAAACTAACAATAGTACTATTTTCCTCTGATGCTCTGATTTCTTCTTCCCCAAACAGTTTATATCCAAATCTTGGATTTGTACCTATAGGTCTACATGTATGAGGGGGAGAGGGAGGTGGCTTAAGTGTGTCATCTACTTGAACACCTACATAGTTGTGACAAGAGAGAGAGAGAGAACAAGTAAGCCAGGGTTACCAGTGTGTAAGCTTGGACTCAGGACTGGATTGACTCAGAGCTAATCTAGGATCACAGCCTCTAAGTTTGGAGTCCTTAGCAAGACAGCACAGGATGCTGTTTTCTTATTCTTGCTTGCTTTTACGTATTGAACAGGAAACAACAGGGCAGCTGACTTTCTTTTAGGAAAATTGCCTGTGTGTGGTTTGTTTGCCTATTTGCTTTTACAGAATCTTGAGATTTATTTTTTATTTGTCTGTATGTATGAATATGTATGCCACATGTTTGAGTGTCTGAAGAACCAGAAGAGAATGTTAGATCCCCTGGAGCTGTATGAAATTAACAGAATGGGTGCTAGGAACCAAACTCTGTTCTCTGGAAGAGCAGCAAGCATTCTAGGCCTAACAGATGGCTCAGAGGTTAAGAGCACTGGCTATTTTTACAGATGATCAGAGTTCAATTCCCAGCACCCACATGGTGGCTCATTCCAGGGGATCCTGTGCCTTCTTCATGGTGCAATGGTATACATGTAGGCAAAGCACTCATATACGTAAAATAAAGAGAAACTTCCTATGGGTGTAGCATCTTGCTGTCCCTTACTTCAGTGTTGAATTGATGGGTCTTTTACTCTCCCACAGCTGAAAGAATGTATCCGAGCACTGGACCAGGAACACACCCACACGCCTTTCAGGCAGAGCAAACTGACTCAGGTAAAGTCAAACAAGAGCCTTGAGTTTGTTCTGCTTTACTTACTGTTCCTTCCTCCCTTACTTTGTTAATTTAATCAAGCATCCACTACTAACCAGACCTGATGCTAAACATACTGGGGAGAAAAGAACGTAGATGTCGTTTTCCCTCCAGGAGCTCTCAGTGTACTCAGGCAGAGATGTCTGCAGCACCAGGGCAGTTACAGCCGCGAGAAGGTAGTCATGGTCTTGTTACCACCTGTTGTAGGTTCGTGCTGCTGCTGTGATGAAATACACTGGCCAGCATCCCAGCTCATAGCTCATCCCTGAGGGGAGTCATCGCAGGACTTGATGCAGAAACAATGGAGCAGCGTTACTTACTGGCTCTTTCCCAGATCCATGCCTAGGCAAGCTTTCCCTCTACAGCCCAGGACCACCTGCCAGGGGATGGTGCTCATATATCTGGGTCCTCCTATCTCAGTTAACAAGACAATCACTTACAGGCTAAGCTGATCTGAGAAATCCCGTAAGACTCCCTTCTCAGATAACTCTAGGCTGTGGCAAATTGACAAAACTAACTAGGACACCACCTTTCTATATTCTTTAGTGTAAAGAATCTTATTGCAGATGTGGTGCCATTTTCCTGAAGCTGAGGCAGGAGGATTACTGAAGCCTAGGAATTTAAGACCAACCTGGATAATAGCAAGACCGAATCTGTAAAAGCATAAATTGCTGGATATGGTGGTTCAGCCACAGTTGAATTCCTCCTGGCAGGAGGTTAGGCTCAGCCATGTGGTGCTCTCCATGGTGACCCCTCTTCAGTGGTGCTTGAGTCACTGCTCGTGTTTGAGTTCCTTGTATAAATGCAGTAGCTAAAAACCACGTAGGCTGCCAGCACTGTGTAAACCCCCAGATGCTGCCTTTCTGGTCGTTGATAAACTTGTAATATTGGCCATAACCTCCTCGAAAGGGTCCTGCAGTGCCACTGTGGGTGAAATCCATCATGAATATCCAGCTCAGCAGCTCTCCAAGTTTAACCTCCATGAGCTTCTTCTCCTACAGTGGCATGAGCAATGCCATCTTGCAGTCCTGGTGTCCCAATACAAGAGTATTCATGAGTTGTACAACTTGGCCTTGAATTCACTTTGTAATACAGACAAGTCTTGACTTGGGATCCTCCTGCCTCAGTCTTCTGAGCATCTAGGATTATAGGCAACACTACCAGGCCCAGCCATGTTTATTCTGAGTAATACAAATATAGAATCTCTTTCTTTCTGTTGTCTGGAAAATGACCAGTAGATATTATTAAGTCAGGCCTATATTGGCTGCAGAGGGGGTAAGGGAATTTGAACTCATGTCCTCATGCTTTCCTATTAGCAAGTACTCTGACCCACAGAGCCATCTCCTCAGCACCCTAAATATCAGCTAGTTCTCCAGTCATTTGTGTTTCTCTGAAGACTGCTAAGTACCTTTTGTTTTGCTTATTGGTTATTTGCATTTCTTTTTAAAAATCCATATATATGTCTTGCCTGCATGCCTAATACCCAGAGACCAGAAGATTCCTTGGAACTGGAGTTACAGATGGTTGTCAACCACCATGTGGTTGCTGGGAACTGAACCCAGGTCCTCTTCAAGAGCAGCCAGTGCTCTTCACTGAACGATCTCTCTCCAGTCTAATGAATTTCTTTTTCTGTAAAATGTCTTTTGTGAATAGAGCAAGCTGTGGCCAGCATCTTCACACATAAGTAGTGAATATGCCCTCTGTTCATTGCCGTCTCTTGGTTTGGATAGGTCCTGAAGGACTCTTTCATTGGCAATGCCAAAACTTGCATGATCGCCAACATCTCCCCAAGCCACATAGCCACAGAGCATACATTGAACACCTTGCGCTATGCTGACCGGTAAGTTGGCTATAGGGTATCAGGTTGTTATGTGCAGTTGTGGTAAAGACAGGTGGATCTCTGAGTTCAAGTCCAGCCTGGTCTACAGGGGGAAAAAAGGGATGTCAGATTATGTCTAGGTCCCTTGTGTTTGTGCACATTCCACTCAGACACAGTGATCTGGCATTGAACTCCACAGCCTTCTTAGAGATTCTATACTAGGATTTTTAAAAGTATGACCTAAAGACCCCTCCTTTTGTGTGTGTGTGCCAAAAGAAAGATGCCACTTGTCCCTGTTTAGGAATTGATGCCTCAGTAGCTTTTCAGTGTCAACCAGGACATGGTAGTGTGGTAGACACAGGAAGCTTTTCTTTCTGCTAACCTCAGCACTATTTATAGGAGCATATAGGTCCAGAAGGACCAATCTGGACATGTCAAAAAAGAGGCCCAAAGGAAAATAGGAACTATCCCAAGGACTTACTAAAAGTTGGTGGCAAAGGTAGCACCCACCTCCTTAAGAAAAATTGCAGGGCAGTGGGTGTAGGGACATGAGAGGACAACTTGTGTTAGTGCCCTCTACCGAATAGTTCTCAGGTCAAACTCAGATCTTCATGATTGCCAGCAAGGGCCTTTACCCACTGAGCCATCTCGCTAGTCTTAAAGCTAATACCCATTAACTGCTTGGTCAAGCTGCTTTCATGAAAGGACTTGGTATCTGTCAGCACTATTCCCATTTCCACTCACAGTCTCTTACAGAATTAAAAACATTTTAAAATGTTTTAGATTATTTTATATTTAATCAGTATTTTGTCTATATGCATGTATGTATGTGTACCCTATGTGTGCCTGCTGTCAGAAGTCAGAAGGCACCATATTACCTGAAAGTGGGTAATATGGTACAGAGGGTTGTGAGCCACCTTGTGGGTTCTGGGAACCAAACCTGGTGGGTCTTCTGCAAAAGCAGCAGTGCTCTTAACCTCTGAACCATCTTTCCAGCCCCCAGGAGTAAGAACATTTTTGATTACTGTGACTGGGGAAAGGTGTTTCTGGTATCTTCTGGGTAAAAACACACATGTTATCCAATATCTCCATACACAGAGTATGCCTCTATAATAAACAATTTTACCCAAAACAGAGTGCCAGTAATCCTAAATTAGGGGATGGTGGAAGTACACATCCTCTTCCCCTGTGTGGGACTAGCACAGTCTGCTGCTTTGTGGAGGTTTTGCTTTTTGAACTGCAGATTAAGGGGACTTCACCTTCCCTGAGAAGCCCGACAGGCTTGTGTGTAGGACTCAGTAGGATTATAGGTGAAAGGTAGACATGGATGCTTGAGTTGGCCTATCTTCAGGACCCATGGCAGGATCTGCATGAATATAGCATGGTTCTCGTTCCTAACTAGTCTCTTATGTGGGGCTGGAGTGATTTGCAAACTCTTCAGTCATGTATTGTGTGTATGCTTATATTCTCAGGAGACACTTCTCTTTTAGTTCAAGCACAGTACTCATGTTAAAAGAGAATGTACCTTTTCCTCTCATTCTCTGCCAGAGTAAGAAAGAACTCATAATCCTTGACATACTTTCCTTGTTTGTTGTTTAATTCTCTGGAAACTGTAGGAAAGGAGTCACAGACACAGATGAATATACAGTTAACGTTAAATGGTCATTTACAGGGTGAAGGAACTAAAGAAAGGTGTTAAGTGTTGTGCTTCAGCTGCCAGTCGGAATCAGATGTCTGCAAACTCCTCTCCAAAACGAATTCAGAGCTCCCCTGTCACCCTGCCCGGGGACAAGTGCTCCCCCAAAAAAGTTAAGCTGGGACTTCAGCAGTCACTTACTGTGGCCCCAGGCCCCACAAGAGTTAAAATCCACCCTTTGGCCAGCCATGCTCCCAACATCCCCTTTGCCGCTGGACCTAAGACCCCTGGTAAAAAGAGTAGTTCCCGAGGGAGTCCCACTCCAGAGTGGGACATGAAGGCTAGCCCTTGCAAAGGAACCATGAGATCTGCCCATTTGCTCAAAAAGGGAGCAGAGTCAGCATCATTGTGCTCTGAGAAAAGTCAGATTGGCAGCAAGATTGCTGTTGAGTGGGAGAGCAGGGCCTCAGGCCCAAGAGAAGGTCTGCTGCATGCCAGGCTGCCCACAAGAGGGAAGAAGGTGCAGCCAGTACAGCCAGTGCAGAAGCAGCTACTGTCCCGAGCTCGGCTCCTTGGTAACAGCCACCACTTAGAAGCCACTCAGGATAGCAAGGTGGGCACACCTGCCGGGCTTACCCCTGAAGTTTGGACAAACCCCATTCTGCAGCAGAAGGAAAGGGAGGAACATTTGCGATTTTACCACCAGCAGTTCCAGCAGCCACCTCTCCTCAAGCAGAAGCTAAAATACCAACCACTGCAGAAGCTTTTATGTCAGCACAGGCCCTCAGAAGGTCGGCTCCAGAATGAGACTGTCTTTCCCCTCCATTCTAATCCTGAGAACCATGATGGAGCCCAGGCTGAGGACCTTGATGACAGTGATTTCAGTGAGGATTCTTTCTCACATGTCTCTAATCAGCCGACCATAAAACAGAGGAGCACCCTAGAAAGGACTGAAAGCTCCTTCTTCCTTCATCAAGACAGGGATCACAACCCTGAGGAACAGGCAACAGAAAGGCAGCAATGTTTGCTTTTCAGCTCTGAGATGGATGGTAGTAAGAAGGGGCCAGCTGACAGCTGGGTGTATTCCATCAGCAGCCACAGAAAAGGAGCATTCAGTCAAAGCCACAGCCCAAGTGTGGTATGCTCAGACTGGAGCAAGGAGGAAGACTCTGCCTCCTCAGGACCTTCTCCTAAGGACAACCGAGCCCAGAAACCTTCCTCTTCACAGGTAGATTTTGTGCATCACCAAAAAACAGGTGAAGCTCAAGCCTTTGACATCAGACTGGAGGCCTTCAGCAGCAAAGTTCCTGAGCAGGCTGAGGGCAGCTTGTCATCCCTATCCCCAGAAAATGGGCTGTCTTTTCCACTATCCCATATGGCTGTTTCTGGGTCCCCAGACCAAAGAGACAGAGTCTCGACACCATTAAGAGAAGTCAGTGGAAACAGAGTGACTCAGGCTCCAGGAACAGTGAACAGCGGTATTCCTTTCCAAGAAGACTCTAGAGAGCAGATACATATGTGTTCTGCCAATGCTTCTGGACTCATGGCTCCTCTCACTATGTCCCTCCTGGAGACCCCCAATCATGAGAACCTTTCTTCCTTGGAGCAAATTGCCCAGGATGGAGCTGGTTATGGTTTCATGGCTGAGATCATTGGAGGGCCAGCAGCAGGACACACAGTATCATCTTACAATCAAGAGGCTGCCTTGCCAGTGTCTTCAGCAACTGAGTGCCTATGGCTGTCTTCATCTCCCCCTGACAATCGGCCTAGTGGTGATCTTCCAGCTCTTTCCCCGTCACCCATCCATCAGCATTCACCTGACAAATTGCCCAATAGGGAGGCCTCCCAGAACAGAAGGCTAACACTTTTGCCCCAGAATTATGTGGGTGGTGAGCCATATGATGACAATGCTGAAGACATTGAACTGAGGGGTTCCTTGACATTACTGAGAAAGCCCTCCTCCAACATACATGCTGGAGTACCCTATTCTACGCCTTCCCTCACCTCATGTACAGGAAGTAGTGATGGAGTTGGCCATCCCTGGGCCCAGAAGAGAAAACATCCTACAGGGGTTAGTTGTCAGGAGCTTGTTCCCTCCACAGATTCCAACAAGCCTCATTACAATGAGGACATCTCATGGCTCAGGCGCAGGCCAATCTCAAGGTGCTTAGATTCAGACTCTCCTGTGGTCCCCAGCTGTTCTCCCAAGGCCTTGGGGACACACTGTCCACTTACACCGGAGCAGGCACAGTAAGTTGAACTTTGTTCTTAAGACTTGAGCCTCTTCAATACCCCCATGACCTTTCTTATTAAATGTAATTAACAGAGGGCCTTGCATGGAAAGGAGCTTGCCTCTTCACTGTGCAAACTTACTGTTCCATGTTGTGTTCTCTACTAGTCACTAGAATTTGACCAAAAGTAGACTGTTCAGCTTTTAGCCTTGACCTGCTTTGGTCCTGAACCCTCCACAAGCAAAAATAAGAGCAGACTTTGTACCAAACACACCAGTTGTCACTGTTTTATAGCCTTTCTGAAGGAAGCTGTGGGAAATAGGCAACCCCTGTGAAGCAGCTGGGGAGGCAGGGACAAGCTTGACAAGTCTCCCCCTCTCTCTCTTCCTGTAACTTGTGGGTACTCCCTAATCCCTTGACTAGTTCTGAGAACAGAAGAGAGAGAGCAAGGAGTGGCCAGCTGGTCTTACCACACTGGGACGAGGCCACAAGCTCCTAGTATGGAAATGAGGCTCAATGTCCAAAGGCTGTCCCCGAGTATGAGAAACCAGAAGGATTCCTTTCTTCAACATATTCCCAGGCAGGTAATCCTCCGTGCACACCAAGAACAGCTGGATGAAATGGCTGAGCTGGACTTCAAGGAGGAGACCCTAATGACCCAGATGGACTCTAATGTAAGTAGTACTGGACGGGTATGTGGGCTACCGACAATTAACTGTGGCTTGTTCAGTGATCATCTGTTTGTTATGGTATAGATAACAAAGCTCTGCTGCTGTGGCCCTCAGAGGGTCTGGGTAGAGCTGGGAGACGGTGCTACACTGCTCACTCCCAACCTAAATGGTCTCCAGCCTCTGTCCATAGCCATTCTGCCTTCCTAAAGGTTTGTTGGGGGTCTCTCCCCATGACTTCTGTGGCAGGGACTATCTTGCTTTTCACAGCCTGCAGACCCAAAGCACTGTAAGCACCCTTTTTCAGAATACAGTCTTCACTTATAAAGTGTCTCAAATGCAGAAAAGGGGGCCCCATCCAAAGCCATAGAATCTTCTGAGCTTTTCCCCTGGGGACTTGGGTTCTAAAATGTTCTTTTAAGATGTACTAGAGAGAATTTTGTTTGGTTGGTTTTTTGTTTGTTTGTTTGTTTGTTTTTGGTTTTTCGAGACAGGGTTTCTCTGTGTAGCCCTGGCTGTCCTGGAACTCACTCTGTAGACCAGGCTGGCCTCAAATTCAGAAATCTGCCTATCTCTGCCTCCCAAGTGCTGGAATTAAAGGCGTGTGCCACCACTGCCCAGCTTATGTTTTTCTTTTAATGTGTATGAATGTTTTGCCTACACACCACTTGTGTGCCTGATGCTCCCCACAGAATTTAGAAAAGGACATCAGATCTCCTGGGACTGGAGTTCTAGATGGTTATGAGTCACCATGTGGGTGCTAGGAACCAAACCTGGGTCCTCTAAAAGAGTAACAAAGTGCTCTTAACAAAATTCTCTCCAAGCACTTGGGAGGCAGAGGCAGATTTCTGAGTTTGAGGCCAGCCTGGTCTACAGAGTGAGTTCCAGGACAGCCAGGGCTACACAGAGAAACCTTGTCTCGAAAAACCAAAAAAATAAAATAAAAAAAAAAGAAAAGAAAACCATGAAAAACAGAAAGACAGACTAGAAAAGATGGTCTGGCAGAGAGCCATCAAGAGAAAAAGCTCTGGTTGTGTTATTTCTTCTCAGGATTTTAAAGATTTTGTGACCCAGCTGGATGAAATCATGGCTTTGAAGTCCAAGTGCATCCAAAGTCTGAGAAGCCAGCTACAGCTCTACCTCACCATCCACAGGCCAGCTGCAGCCCCCGAGAGAACTGTGGTATCTTAAGAAGAAGGGCTCACCCTGGGTGGACACTGCTGTGCTTCCTGAGGGTGGAAGAGGCTCTGCTAGGGCCTTCCTGCAAACAACCACTCCATGTCCTGCCCCTAGTGTCACCCTAGCCAACATTGCCTTGGATATCCCCACTACTCAGGGACAGACCTCATCTTATCTCAGTTTCAACTACAAGGTCACCTGTAACAAAGTACTGGGCTGGAAACCCTCATGACCCCTTTTATTTTGGGGCTCAGAGTAGTCACTTTGCCAGCCTGTATCTGTAGGAACATACTTTGTGGATGTTCCTAAATTTGAGGATGAGACCAGGGTGTTTAATGTTAACTTGGACATCAGAGGTTAGGGAGCACAAGCTGAGCCAACAGCCTTACTGCTGACAGTGCCTTTCTGTCAGCCAGGCAGTCAGGTGAACTCCTTCCCAGCAGAGTAGAGATTTAGTTTTGGAAATTATAAAATGAACAACTCTTGATTTCTTTCTTTCCTTCCTTTCTTTCTGAGACAGGATTTCTCTATGTAGTCCTGGCTGTCCTGGCACTCACTCTGTAGACCAGGCTGGCCTTGAACTCAGAAATCCACCTGCCTCTGCCTCCCAAGTGCTGGGATTAAAGGCGTGTGCCACCACCGCCCCGGCTCTTGATATCTTTCTTAACAGCAGCTGAGGTCTGGGTATGCTTTATGTTTACAGTTTCCTTCCCTGCAATCAGCTTTGAGGGTGCCGACAGCAGCACGTTTTTCTCATTAATTTTTTTGTTAAAACAGCAGGGCCATGGACAGTGGCTACTAGCCCTCATAGTTCTTGTGGCAGATTTTAGCTCCCATCTGACTCATTCCCAGTGCCTCTGATTAGACAGGCTGGAGGATCTCAGTAAGTCCATTGCCTAGGCTTGAATCTTCCAGGGTACCCAGCCCAGCAACACTCAAGGGCCTTTGCTATGGGTGTCTTGGGACTGAGTCTACAGTCAACAGTCCGAACCTTCCGACACAGCAGCAGCACACTCTTCAAATGAGTTCTTGCTGTGTCACTGTGGAGAAGGGGGTCAGATACTATCAGGTACCCTCAGTCATTCTCTACCTTATTTTTGAAAAGTCTCTCACTGTTGATCTACACAAACTGATCAGCTAACAAGTCCCACTCACAGACCACTGCTCCAGGCTTTCTTTTGAGATGGGGTCTCTCTATACAGTCCTGGAGTTCTCTACGTAGAGCAACTCACAGAGATCCTCCTGCCTCCCAAGTGCTAGGATTAAAGATGTAGTGTACACCATTACTCCAGGCTTTCTACACAGTTACTAGAGATCCAACCTCAGTCCTTACGCTTGTACCACAAGCATTTTACTGACTGAACCATCTTCCCATCTCCTGTATCACCTTTTCAACAGAGAGAACCTCAGGGAAACCAAGAGTTCCTTAGTTTCATAGGTCTCCCTGAGTTAACCTGACATTCATGTGTCACAGCCTGGGCCCTGAAGCCATTACCACATAAATTTAAGAAGAACTCTCTATGGTTTTAGAATGTTACATCTAAAAAGCTAAGACAAGACGGGTGTGGCACTGCTCATTTGTAATCCCAGCATTTGGGATGCTGAGGCAGAATGAGGACTATAGTGAGATCAAGAGCTGAAAGGCTAAAGTCTGCCAGCCACAGGTGGTGCTTGAACTGACCACCAGATGGCAGCCTGTTCCTAGCTTAAGGCTGTATACCCTCTCACATTGCCTCTAAAAATCAGAGACCATTTCCAACCAAGAACACCAAAAGGATGTAGGATTCTACTAAAGGTAAGGATTAGAAACTTTAGGGATGAACTGTCAGCTACGGGAATACCACCGAGAGCCGGGGAAGCACTTTAGCCTTGCCTGTGACTGATAGTATTCACAAGCAAAGGGACTTGTCATCTTTTAAAGTATACTTTGAAACCTGTATGCCCCTTGTCCACTCTGGCAAGGAAGCATATACCCCTGTTCCACAGACAGCACTAGACCAGGTTTAAAGAGATCTTTGGGTCTGTGTAAACCAAAAAACCCGATGAGACAAGATAGCCAGCTTCCAGGTCCCATAGGCCCTCAGTGGGGAGAGGATATTGAGATGCAAGGGAAACTAGGTTCTGTCCCAGGCCAGAAATGACTGTACTCACCATCTACCCACTGTTTTGAGTCAAACCATTTTTTTCAAAATAAAGAGGTTAAAGCAGCATGGTATACCTTTTAGATTTTTATTAGTAGTTCTCTGAAGAATCAAAATAGTTAGCAAATTATTTTAGATTCAAGACTGTATTATATCCCTTGTATTTAGATCTTTAATGTTGTAGAACATAATACAAACAAACCAAAGAGACTGGTTTCTATGCCTAGGTGTTATTCATTGTGTCATCCTAAAGCAGAGCTGGAGGAGGCTGTTCAAGAACTGGGGGTTAGTGCTGAGTGACAAGTCGTGGCCTGTTTTCTCACCAGTGTGCTGGGAAGGGGCCAATGATTACTCAAACTGACAGCTTCCTAGCACAGAGGATCCAATGCCCTGGGCAGCAGAGGATTATGGTCTAAGCCAAAAGAAACAGTCTGAATGGGGGGCACATGGGAACTGCCTGGCAGAAGAGGCAGACTTTGCCCCATGAGAAAAAGTGCATCTTTGTACCGCAGAGACATTCCAGAACCAGTGTAACACTAAGGGCTGTGGGGGAAGGCGGGCCCCGGAAGAACCTCTCAGTTGCATTCCACTTGGATTAGAGCCCAGTCTGCCAGTGGTGCAGCCGAGGAAAGCTAGCCCCAAAGCAGCAGCAGTCTGCTCCTCCTGTCTTCCCACTCTTCTTGGTAGCCAGGCCAGGTTTTGGCTGAGAACATAAGAGACCCCAGAAAGAACCCAAGTATTCTTTCTGAAAGGCCAAAGTGGGAAGGACACTTCTCAAAATACAGATATGTTTAATATTGAAGGAACCAGTAGAGGGCATATCTTCCTACTTTCCCCCAGCTTAGACCCGGGCTCACAGAGACTAGCAAGTATCACCTCCACATATGACCTTCTAACCCCCAAAGAAAATCTGGAAGCATTTCCCGTCTTCCCCACAAGTGAGCTATGCAGGGCCTCCTTGGGGAATGGTGGTGTTGTGGCAGGGCCGTGGCAGGGCCTGGTCTCAGCTGGCTCCAGCCCGGGCCATGAGGTCTTCCAGAGCATTGTCCTGGTCATTGTTGTGTAATAGCAAAACTTCCTTAATGTCTTTCAGTTCAAAGCCCATTTCCTTAAATTTGCTCATTAGCTGAAGAAACTCCATCATCTATGGGATAAAGGAGAACAAATGTTTTTCAGAAAGGCACAGACCAGCTGAATGTAGATGCATACTGCAGGTGAAGAATCTGTATCCTTCAACCCATCTCATGGGTCTCTCTAAGGTTCCCCGGCAAGCAACAACTCATGTGCTGACCTCTGAAAGAGCCCCGCCCACATGAATATTCCCACCAAGACAAAGTATTAAATCCTTTCTAGATAGAAGGGAAAGCAAAAAGACTAGCAATGGCCACAGCCTTCCAAAAGCCTGCCTTTTTGCACAACTCAACTTTCCCTTCCCATCACTGGGATTCAACTCCATGCTTCATCTATACTAAACGCAGGACTCCCTTGTCTGTTTCTGACTGCTTCTGCCTACAATGACTGGTAAGAGAAGGCAGTACAGGGACCCAGAGTACACCAGGAAGTCAACTCTGCTCCTGTGAATGCATAAAGGTTCTTACCTTTTCTTCTGAACACTGGTGCATTTCCAGAGCCTCTTCCACTAAAAGAGGGTCAAAACCCTTCTCACAAAGCTGTCCATGTGCAAAGAGATAGTCGAGAATCTAAGGAGGAAACAAGGCTTGAGCTCCTACTGTCACTCTTCTGTGTGAAGTCGGCTCCCTGTCCCTCCCCAGTTTTCAGAACTACTCTTGGCCTTGAATGTGTCTAGCACAGCATAGCCTCAGTAATTACTTGGTAAACAACTGGCACACCCTTCTAGAAATGAGCAGCCACATCCCAAAGGAGGTACTGTCACAGCTGACTCAACCTCAGAATATCAACTCAGCCTGGGGTATAATAGTTCTCTAGAAAAATACAACACATGTCAGAAAATGTCCCCAAGGCAGAAGATGCTATAGTATGCTATTGAGAACTTCCTATGCAGCCATGACGAAAGTTTCTGGAGGTAAGCCAAGGGTAGTAGACTACACTTGTAATGCTAGCGTTCAGGACCATGAGTCCAATGCCAGCCTCAGCTACCTCAGTTCTGAGCAGCCTGGGCTACACAAGACCCTATCTCAAAAAGAAGTGTAGATGAAGACATCTAAACACATGCTCAGTTTTGTCCTCTCTGGAGGTACAAAGGGGTGGATGATGACAACAGCTCCAGTACCCGCCCCAGGCTCTCTCCCAGACTCTCCAAGCAGTTCTCAAGAAGGACTACTGCTGAACTTCTGGCTTCCCTGATGACACTCCAAGTCTCCACATACAGGGGAGGGGGCTGGAGTTGCAGGCACTTTGAGGACCTCAAGATCACAACCCTGACCCTGCACACCAGCACCTCACCTGCTCAATATTCTCTCCTTTCTTCTTCATGGCTCTCAGGACACAATCATATGAGTAGCCCATGTTGACTACTGTCTCTACACATTGCCGCTCACTCGGAGATAGTGCCTGCAGTTCCAAATAGGCCTGGGGACAGCTAGCCATGTTGGGCACTTGTGACACTGAGAAATTTAGAGGGGTTACCTGACAATAGAAAAACAAAATCAAAGTAAGATGAGTTGAGGCCCAGGTTGCTGTCCAGGCATTGTGGGGAGGAAAGAAGAGAGGTACTGAGTACCAGCCAAGGAGAAAAGCTGGGAAATACCTGCAACCCTTGGCGCCCTCACCCAGAGTCCCTGCATGTTCAGACATCACATGCTGTTCCATGCCCTGATCCTTGTGACTTAAAAATCCGTCCTGAGGTTGAACCTACCTACAGAGTTAATGTTGGAGGGCTGTGTAGATTTCTGTCATTTCATTAGCCCTTTACCTTAGTCCTTAAGATCCATTCACTGCAGACTTGGCCACTCTGTTACTGACTATCCTAGTCTCATTCCTGCCTTTCCTATGCATGGCTAGCCTTGGGATTTTGAGGGTACTTACCTTTGTCCCACATCACATAACTGTTTCATTCCCTGCTAAAGCTGCTGTCCTCTGCAGCCAAGACAGAAGGAAGGAGTATTAGCCACACTAGGCTGGACTCCCAGGCACAGTTTACTGCATGGCTACAAGCAGCTCGCTCCCTGCCACCAGACCTCCCTAATCTCATCTGACTGCTTCACCTCTGATAATGAAACCTAAGGCACAAAGGCAGCTCAGCTCACTCCAGGCCATGGGAACCAAATTAACAGTTTTCAGGGTCTAGGCTTCCAAGAACCAAAGAAAACATTATATAATGATCCTTTTCCATTGGGTAAAGCAGGGCAGTAAGGAGTAGTCAGTCCTCTGCCCTAAAGCAGGTTCTGCTATAAGCACATGTTCTCAAACAGAAGAAAACAGGAGGGTCACAGGCATGCAGACTGACAGCTGCCATTTTCACTGTCACCTGTAACATACTCTGAGCAGTCCATTCCCAGGGGCTTCAGCAGGCTACAGCAGCCATAGAAGAGCAGAAGCTAAAGCAATCCAGGCACTTGCAGACTCTTTGCAGATTATACAGCCCTTCTCAGGAGCAGACTCTGTGGACTCAAGACACCAGCTTCTTTAAAAAGTAAAGGCGGCCCTCACATGAGCCCAGCCACAAAGCAAGAACTATTCTTCTACCGTGTGCACTTCTCCCTTTAAAAAGCTCCAGGAACACCTGCTAGAATGCGAGCATGTTTCTAATTACAGACACTTTTAGAAAGTGCTTTTGGAATGTGCAGTCCTGTAACAGCTGTACTGTTGGGAATATTATTTGTGCCCTTCAAGTAAATGTGGCTGTAGGAAGGCCTGATAAAATTCTTTGATCTAGTTGTATACTTCTAGGGACCTAATCTTTGTGAATATTAAAATGCAAATCTTTGGGCTAGAGAAGGAGCTCAGCAATAAAGAACATGTATTTGTTGCTCTTGCAGAGAGGACCTGGGTTCAGTTTCTAGCAACCACATAATAGTTTAAAACTATCCATAACTCCAGATCCAGATCCAGGAATCAATTCAACACCCGCTGAACTCCCCAGACACCAGGCATGCATGTGCGATATAAAATATGTATGTAGGCAAAACATTCATATACATAAATCTATAAGAAAAAAATTAAGC